ACCTCTTAAAACTAGACTGCCAGGCGGAATCCTCACCTGCTTCCCTGCAGTTCCAAAGTTGCAGAAAAAGTATGGATCGTTGTTTACGTATCTACGTATATCTTCATTGGTTTTTAATTATAAAAATAATATATGCTTACTAGAGAAAATAATGAATGAAGTGAAGCCCCTGTCCCTTCCCCAATCACTCCTCTCTCCTGTTCACTCCCCATCCCTCTCCCCAGACGCAACTAGTAATAGATTAGCGTGTAACCTTCAATGCTTTTTTCTGCGCATACACAAGCACATATTATTTTTGTGCATTTTTATGTGTATAATTAATTCTATTTTGCACAAAAAGTCATACATACTATTCTGCAACTTGTTTTTTCAACTTAAAAATATATCTTGGACATCGTTTCATGTCTGTACATATGGATCATTCCTTTTTAATGACTGCATAGTATTCTGTTGTATAAATGTGCCATATTTATTTAACCAATTCCCTATTATGGGCATTTAGGTTGTTTCCAATGTTTTCTGTTACAAATAACGCTGCAGTGAACATCCTTGTACATATATCTTTGTATACTTTTTAGGATAAATTCCTAGAAGTGGAATTGCTGGATCAAAGGGTATGCACATTTTCAATTTTGATAGATATTGCCAAATTGCCTTCCACAAAGGCCATAGCAGTTTGCACCCAGCAGCAGTGTACGACTGCCCGTTTCCCCTCACCCTCACCAACGCTGGATACTTTCTAATCTTTACAAGATAGGCAGATATTCTGTGATTGTTTTAGTGTGTGTTTTTTTTTAATTCGTAGTGAGGTTAAGCATCTTTTCATATTGGCCATTTGTGTTTCTTCTTGTACGAATTTCCTGCTTGTGTTTTTTGCTCCTTTTCTGTTAGGTTGTTTGTCTTTCTTACTGACTTGTAGGACTTGTTTAGATTGAATATTAACCCTTTGACTTACTATTTGTGTCTCGCAATTGAATTTTTACTTTGTTCCTGGTGTCTTGCCAGGCAAAAAGTTTTAATTTTTATGTAATTAGATTGATCCCTTAGAGCTTCTGAATTTCATGTCTTGCATAGGTATTTCCCCTCCAAACAGCAAAAATAGTTGCCTGTACTCTCCTGTAGTACCTTTATGATAATTTTTTATGTCTGGATCTTTACTAGAATTTATTCTTTCATTTCGTGTGAGGTGGGATTCTAACTTTTCCAGATGGAGCAGCAGCGTCTCCACACACTTTATTGAATAATCCTTCTCTCTGCTACTGAAATGCTCTTTATCGTGTACGAATGTCTGTATTCCTGGGGTCTGTCTCTGGACTCTCATGTACTATTGACCTATTTTGTGTATTCCTAAAGCCATATGAAAGGGGTTTAATCCCTAGAACCTGCAGAAAACGTGTTTTCTGTCCCAGATACGCCTCCAAGAACTTGAAGCCAGTGTGACACCCATTGGATATTCTATGGTCTTCTCTGTGTCCGAGCTCCCCTTAAACCACTACTTCCTTTGAGTGTGAAACTTACCTGCGAGGCGTTGCTGACTTTAGGCTGTGACTTATTCCTGAGAGGAGGCATCCAGACGGGATGACATAGAGTCTCGGAGGGGATTAGTACACGGAGAGAAGATGGCCAGTTAACTTTACCCTTCACCTGAGCATGTGGCTTACGTCATGGTAGACAGCTTGGTGGTTGGCTGAAGGGTCCACTCTCGCTTCAGACCTTAGCCCTCACTCTGACGTCAGGGGAGAGGAAGGGGAAGACGGGATTGGCCTGTGAAGCTGGATGACGGGCCTCACCAGTGTAGAGTGTGTAGCTTTGCTCAAAGGTGGATGTCGTGGGTTTCTGTCAAGACGCTTCATTTTTTGTTTGGGCCTTTAGGCATCATCCCCAGTATTTTAATACAGAATTGAAATTTTGGTTTGTATGGGCTTACTTGAAGAATTAGTTTGTTTCCCTCTAATGCCTTGTACTGTTCCGGAGAGCCACGCTCTTCATATTGCCACTGCCGTTACGTTTAATTTGTCTTTAAAATTTAGTTTTGTAAGAAAGGATATGTAAAGTTTTCTGATGAATTTTCTCTAATTTGATAGTTTATTTCATAGAAACTCACATTTAATTGTAAAAAACTATTGTGCATGTTTTCCTATTGATACTATTTTAATCAACTAATGGGAACTATTACCTTTTTAACTTCTAATATTTCAGAAGAATATGCCCAAATTCAACAAAATTCCTTTCTACCTCCAACCTCATGCATCTTCGGGAGCAAAAACCTTGAAAAAGTAAGTAGATGTAGTATCAGGTGTTCCTTAATCTGATTATCAGAGAGAATTTATTCCTTAGATTGCTTTTGTAGCAAAAAAGGCAAGTACTAGATCTAAAACTGATTCTGCGATATTGAAAGTTCATACAGTTTAACCAAGTACCAAGTACCTGCTGTGGTCTAGAAATCAGTAAGATCTAGATCTTGTCTCCTGCCGGAATCCGCAGCCTAGGACTGTGTATGACCACCTCTGTGGAGAATGGGAAAGGGAGTTTTTGACGGCAGCTTTCCAGAAGGGCTTCTTGTGGGGAATGACTTCGAGCTGGATGTGGAAAGGTTGTGTAGAGCTTCAGAAGACAGGTGTTACAGGCCCAGGGAGAGTCTGATCAGGGTGTGAAAATGAGAGAGCACAAGATCCTGAAAATCAGTGAGGACGATGTAGCTGGCGCGTAGGCTGGAGGGGCAGGGGGAGGGTACATCAGGAATAAGTCAGGAAAGGTGATCAGAGGTTTCACGGCCACGGGCTGTGCACACTAAGCTGTAGATCATGCAGTGACTGCACACCAGAACGTGTAGAGCAGACGTGGGATGTGGCTCAGAGAGAGAGGCTCCAGGCAAGGAGACCCGAGATGCTGAACAATAGGTATTTCCTAGTAAGTAAAATCATTAAGGCTAATTTTGAAAATTTTTTTGTCATGTAAACTTCCAAACATATACAAATAGGATAATGAACCCCATTGACCCATCAAACAGCTCCAGTAATTGTCAACACATGGCTAAGGTTGCTTTCTCTGTACCTCTTCCTACTCTCCCACTCCCCACCACGTCCCATGCGTGCACGCGCACGCACACACTGGATTACCTTAGAGCAAGTCTCAGGCATTACTTCAGCTAGATTCAGTGACTGGAGAGGACTTTCAGAGTCTGAGCCTGAGCTGTGTGGATAGACCGTCACTGACTGACACTGGAGATACAGGAGTAGACTTGAGGGTGAAGAAGTCAGCAAGTCTAGTTTTGGGCATGTAGAGTTTGGCGTGTCTGTGGTACATCCAACTGGAAATAGCCAGCCAGCTGCTGGGTTTGTGAGTCTGGAGCTCAGGCAGGAGGTTGAGACTTGAGATCTAGACTGTGGAGTCCGTCTGCTCCCAGGTGCTAGTTAAAGGCATGGCAGGGCTGAACCCGGGAGAAATGAGCACCAAGAGTGGTGGACCCTGGGTGGGTGCCGGGGCTGCCTCCTCCTCCAGTGGCGTGTTTCCTGCGTTTCAGAGGGTGTTTTGTTTGCCCCCACTCTGGACAAGTATTTAAGGGAACTAAAACCCATTTATTGGTTCGTGTTTCTGGGGTATGTTTTATCTTTATACGTTGCTAACACCAAGGAGAAATAATATGAAGAAACATTGTCTAGTGAGTTCCCTGATGTCAGTCTGCCTTTACCCTACAGAGACAGACTCTCTGCTAGTGACATGCTCCAGGTCCGGAAAGTAATGGAACACGTTTATGAGAAAATCATCAACTTGGATAATGAGTCTCAAACCACTAGCTCTTCTAATAATGAAAAAGCGGGAGAACAGGAAAAAGAAGAGGATATTGCTGTGTTGGCAGAGGAGAAAATTGAACTTTTGTGCCAGGACCAGGTGAGTGGATTTGAGGACCACAGTCCCGTTTCTTTTCAGTGCTGGTGTTCAGAAATAGCTACATAATGTGGTGTGATTTTGGTTCTCAAGTCTGTTGCCCGAGGGACTTCCGCTTGAGAGAGGCTCTAAGGAGCCCTGTGTCTCTTGCACCTACCTGTGGGGCCCCTTGTGGAGGGCACCTCAGCCCACCCTATAGCTCCTATCTCCAGAGACGTAAGTGCACACGCAGACACGCAAACACCTCAGCCTGAGGAGAGCTGCGTGGTCTGGATCTGCAGAGCAGCATCTGCTGGTTAGTGTGAGATTCAGAGGGCCGGTGAGGGGAGAAATGACGGTGCACTCAGGTGTTTGTCTGAGGGACGGCTGAACGATGGCCGGTTTCTGCAGCCACGTCAGCCGCAGTGGTTCCCGTGCCGTCTCACGTCTGCTCACGTGGAAGCTGTCGCAAGAGCGGGACGGTAGGGGAGGGGACAGGCTGGGTCACCTGAGGAGAGGCCCTGAATGAGCGATACAGGTCTTAGGTTTCAGAGACTCTGAAAGTGTATGTTCTGCTGTTCAGGTTTTAGATCCAAACATGGACCTTCGAACCGTGAAGCACTTCATATGGAAGAGTGGTGGCGACCTGACCCTCCATTACCGTCAGAAGTCAACGTGAAGGGTGGGCAGATGCTCCTAGGTTTTCATGTACTGACCTTCCTCTACGGCCCCAAGAGTAGTCCTAGGAAGCCAACGCCCACACGGGAGCAAGACTTCTAACGGCCGATTCGGTATGGACCAGGCTTGTCTTTCAATTGAAGTGACTAATTGAGATGTAATATACAAAGTAGATCGCGCTGTCCCCAGGGAGGCAGATACCAGAGCAGAGGACCCCGGGTGCCTTTGTATTGTGAGGTGTACAGAGAAGTGGCAACAGGCCAGTGCAGACTGCTTCCTTCTTTTGTCTCCAAGGACCATATCCTTGTCCACTAGCACGTGTTAAAGGCCACATCCGTCCCTGTGTTTCAGATGTACTTCAGCCCACACATTCTGTAGCTCTTCTCACTCCATTCCATTCATGCAGTACCTATGAAGGCCTTTTCCAAGTTTGTCATAAAAAAATCAAAAATCCAGTCATTATCACCTTTTACAGACAGTTATTTTAATGGGGACTTGCTGCTGCAGAATTGGAGATGGAGCGCCAGCCCATTTCGTAGTAAATGATTGACATTGGGCTTGTTTTTAATACTGCGTCTCAGATGTGTTATTGTAGGAAGAGCTGTTGAAATTCAGGTACTGGATCACAGCACATTGACTGCCGGGCCGGAGGACGTCCTGCCCGGGCCCGGCAGTGCCGCAGCCGCACGAGGCGCTGGGCCGTGGGAGCCCCTGGGAAGCGCAGCTGACCTGTCCTCCTGCACTGTGTCCAGCTTTCTGTGTGGGCAGAGCCAACTGACACCCCACATTCTTGCTCTGGGTAAGCAGCCTGATACCGTCAGAACTTAGGACAATGACGAAATTTTAATTTCATTTGAATGCTCCCTAAAAAGTACGGTGTCAGGGTGCAGAGATGTCCTGGTGACCTGATCTGATCCTCGCATTCTGGAAGTGTACGTACTTGTTTTATACACAGGTTTTGGTCGTTGTTCCTGTATCCAAGTCTTCTTTCCACTGTACTTTCTAACCGTTGAAGGCTTTCATAGTCATTTGGATCTTGTGCAGAATATAACTTATTGGGGATAAACACTTCAACTTTTGGCAGAAAAAGTACCTCGGCTCCTCCCCCAGGTCATCTGTATTTGGAGGAGATGAGCCGTCCCCGCTGTCCCCCCACCCGCCGTGGAGAACAGGCTCCTGTGAGAAGCCAGAAGCACAAGTGCCTTCAGAGGGCAGTTATTCCGGTCCAGCTCCTCCCCACTGTGTGGCCTGTCCCCACAGCCAGGGCTGGGGAGCAGCCGGGAAGGGGGCAGCTGGTGGGCCTGGGCCCAGGTGTTCCCATTTAAGACCTTCTGACCCGCACAGCTGCAGGGGCAGGGTTCCCTCACTGCTGGCCAGCTTTCTCCGGGAAGCAGGCAGGCATTGCCTCCTGTACGCTGGAGAGAGAAGTGAGCAGAGACATGGCCACGTTCCTAGTGAGCTGAAACGGCCTTTACCCCTTCCACAGAGAGCAACTTGGCTTCTTTTTTTAAAAGTCCTTTCTATGTATCTCTTGGATACAACAGTGCACTTTGGGTGCACATTTTTTAGCAATAGTTAGGAATTAATGGCAGAAAAAACAAACAACATAACTATGGTAACTCCCTTACCAGCCCTCACTGTTTGTGCGCGGGGCCCCCGAGGTGGAGGGCCAAGTGAGTTGTGCTGGGAACCCGCCCGCCGTGCCTCGGGGGGCCCGCCCGCCCTGTCATCCATCTCACCCCCCAGCATGGTTGTAGTTTTCTTCTTCCAGTCAAACCAGTAATCATTTTCCAGAAAATCCGACAGTCTGCAATGCCAGAAGGGTAAAAATCTGTATTTCACAGTTGTATAGAATAAAGGCTTTAGTTAAAATATTACATAGTACACATTTTTGCACTTGTCAGTTTCCTTCATAGCAGATTAGAGAGAGAGTAAGAAACCTGGTTTCGCATTCACCCTGGAAATAACGAGCACTGACACCCACCTTATCTCGTACTTTGTGTTGGGGTGGGGGAGGGAAAGAGGAAGAACCAGAACCCTTGGGTGAGGGCAACACAGTGAGGGAAGCTGGCCCAGAACAGTCCGGTGGCATTTCCGCTCTGCTTCCTGGATTCCTGCAGGCAGACCCTGGGCCCTGGGCTCCAGCACTGGCCTGGGACACAGGGCTCACTGTTCTGCAGGCTTATCGGCTGCTCTTGTAGGCTTGACGGGGCTCACCGTGAATGCAGTCATGGAGCTTGGCTTGAGGTGTTTGCTGACTTGGGGCCCTCCAGGTGGCTGGTCTGTGCTCACCAGTGTGCGCTGCACACAGTCCTTGGCCCGCAGACCTGACAGAGCTCCCGAGTTCCCGTAAGTGCTGATGTCACACATCAGGGTGTAAAGGTGGGACTTCCAAGTGGGCAGAGGCTAGAAGACGAGGCCACAGGCCACTCAGAATTAGCAGGGCGTGTGGGAAGGTGAGGGGCCATCCCTGGACACAGGTGGGCACAGAGCAGACCCAGCTGGGCCCTGCAAGGCCTCCACGGACATCTGGGAGTGGGGCAGGGGAAGTGGCCTCCCCGATCCTATGAGAAAGAACAGAAGGCCCTCTGCACCTTGGGTTCTTGTCCAGGCCCCCAGCTGCCCCATGGGGTGGGCTGTGCGGGAGGAGACCCAGGCAGGCGGACGTGGAAGAGTCTGCAGCTTTATTCGTTTCTGGGGTGGGGTTGCTGCCTCTGCGGTTTAGGGGAGACCACTGAGGTCGGGAGCTGACAGTCGCCCCTGGGGGCACAGGTCTGTGGCGGGTAGGCCTGGGAAGAGGAAACCTCAGGGTCCAGGCACAGGTGGGTCTCTGCTGAAGAGCCAAGACTTCCAGCCCCACCCCCACCCCAGAAGAAGGCCTCCTGCCCGACCGGCACACACCAGCCAGCCTGAGCCAGTGGTGACAGTGTGGCCCAGGGTGAGGACACGTGGTGGAGAAGTGCGTACAGTCAGTGGCTGGGGCTCGGGGGTTCCTTCCACCAGCCAGGACGACACTCCACACCAACCCCTGGCCTCCCTCACCCGTCTTCACACCTGACCTGCCGCTGCCGGGGCAGCCAGTGGACCTGGAGGCGCACAGCCGAGAGCTGCCGTCCCCCAAGGCCTCCCATCTGTACTACCCAGGCCCCGCGCCCACCCAGGCCTCCCATCTGTACCACCCAGGCCCCGCGCCCGCCCAGGCCACGAAGAATCTTTCCTCTCCTAGCCAGCTCCTGCAGGACGCATTTTAATCTGGGGTGCTGCTCCCAGCTCTCCCACAAACAAGCACCCGAGTCCCCAAAGCCAGGGCCACCAGGCAGAACAAATGCGGGGGTCATCTGGAGACCAGGGGCAGGGTCTGAGTGGACACAGAAGCCCCCGCCCCCAGCAGCAAGAACCTGCACATCATTTGTGTGGGCCCCAGGAACACCCAGGGGGCCTGTCCCAGCTCAGGCTATTATTCTGGGGCAGAAATCTGGGCCTGGCTAGCTGCCCCCTCAGTCTCCATCCCGAAATCGGGGTTCTCTGTGCTTGCCAGCTCCTCCTCAGCCTGGGCTTCCAGCAGCTCCGCAGACAGTCCATCTTCTGGTGAAGCTGCAGAGGTGAGGCTGTCGGGAAGACTCAGCCGAGGCAGGTGGTCCAGCTGGGCCTGGCCGCCTGGGCCATCCAGGAAGGAGTCCTCAAACTCGGACCCGGACCAGGTGGCCTCACCTGAAACAGAAGCTGGGGCTGAACGCCGCCCCCCCCCCGCCCCACCTGACTCCCACCCCACCCCACCACACCAAGGCCTCACCTGAAACAGGAGGCTGGGGCTGAACGCCACCCCCACCCCGCCCCACCTGACTCCCCCCCCCCCCCAAGGCTTTGACCGCGTTGGTTGGTGGGGCACACAGACTGCACAGTCCAGCTGCATCCACCCCAAAAGCCAACCTCTCACCCCAGTGAGAACCCAGGGCAGCCTCCTTCCCAGCAAGCTGGGGTCCTTCCCAGAGGGCTTCAGAAGGTGCCAACCACTCACCGCCCCGCTCCTGAGACCCACTGCTGGAGCAGACATCCTCGGGCCCCGAGACTGAGGTAGTGGTGGAGGTCAGCCCCGTGGGAGAGGGTCGGCCGGGCCAGAGGCTGGCGCTGCTGCTGTCCAAAAGGGAGATGCCCGACGCGTCTAGGAAGCCTGCAGGAGGGGGCGCAGCTAAAGCCCTGACTGCTGGCCGCCCCCGGCCCACCTGCCCTGTGGTGGGTGAGATTAATCTCCTCAGCCAGCTGACATCCCTACAGCCCCAGGGAGGTTCCCCGCTGCCTGTTTGTAAGAGAAAAGGGCCTGGGGTGGGGCATCACAGAGTAGCACAGTGGCGTGGGCCCTGACCCTGCTGTGTCCCCAACCTGCCATGAGACTGAAGTGGGCCACCTCTCTTCCACATGTATGCTGGACCGCACCATCTGCCAGGATCTCAGTGGGTACAGAAAAGGGTCAGTGGGTCCTGAGGAAGGTTCTGGTCCTGCGGCCCACGTCCAGCCCGGGCCCACGTCAGCACCAGGCCTGCCCAAGTCCAGCCCGGATCCCTGTCAGCACCACGCCTACCTCAGCACCAGGCCTGCCCCGTACCTGGGTCCATGACTCGCTGCAGTGGAGGTGGAGGCTGGAGAGGCGTCTCCATGGAACGTGGGGGTCCCTCGAGGTCTGGAGCACCCTGGCTGGGACTTGCAGGCGTGGGGAGCTGTGCCTCCAGGGAGGAGCCAGGTGCCTGCAGCAGGGCCTGGTGGAGCAGAAAGAAGAGGGAGGAGGCAGGGGCAGTCAGGACAGGGTCCAGAGCGGGGTTATGCAGCCACCCCCACCCCATGAGCACTGCTCTCCCTGCAGGAAGGAAACGGCCTTGGTGACCAGCCCCTCCTCTCCAGGTGAGTGACACAGGCCACAGCAGCCTGCACTTCTCACTCTGAGAAGCCCCAGGTGCCCACCTGGCCCTAACACGTTCCCTCTGCTGCCCGGGCCCCATCCGTGACCCAGGATCCAGCCGTGCCTGTAGAGCAGTCCTCCCGTGCCCCGGCTCAGCACCAAGGCACCAGCCCGGTGCGCAGAGGTGCTCTCGGGGGACCTGTGCAACAGCCACGAAGGTAGGGCCACCCAGCCCGGCTGGGCTCAGCTTTACCAGACTCAGCACGAGGCAGCAAACAAGGCTCTGCCATCCCTGAACCTCAGCTTCCTACTCAGGAAACCAGGAGGACAACTAGCACGCTGCCTTCACCCTCACCCACAGGCCCAACAGGCAGGGGAGCCAAACGTGGGCTTCACAGTCCCAGGCAGGGCCCACCTGCTCCCACGGGGTCCTAGAAGCAGAGGCGGCCTCCTGAGGTCCCACAGACAGGCCTCTGCTGAGCGCTGCCTGGAGGCTCTAGAGGAGCAGCTTCCACAGTCTTCTCTTCCCGGCTGGAGCCCCTCTACCCACACGAGACTCCCCCTCCCCACAGCTGGCAGACGCGGCACACACCTCCATGCAGTCACCCCGGCTGGAGCCCCTTTACCCACGCGAGGTTCCCCCTCCCCACAGCTGGCAGACGCGGCACACACCTCCATGTAATCACCCTGGCTGGAGCCCCTCTCCGGTCCAGGAGGGGCAGGAGGGTCAGGAGGGTCCTGGGGCTTGGGTCCAGGTGGCAGGGAACCAGGTGGCTTCTTGTGGCGGCTGGGGGACTGGGTTGGGATCCGGTGTAGATATCCATAGCCAATACCACACCCTAGACTGCAGGAGGCCAGAACCACCTAATCCAAGGGCCGTCCCTCCCACAGTCCTCCCTACCTCTGCCACCTCCATCCAGTATCAGCAGTGAGGGGTTGGAAAGGGTGCCCCCTGGACCAATGGCCAGCCTCAAGTCCCCGGGGTCCTGGTCCCAGCCCTCCACCTCCGCTGCGTGGGACTCGGGGGGTCCACGCCCACTGGTTAGGCCCACTCCCCTTGCCCAGAAGTACCTGCCTTCTCCACCCCAGGCTGCGTTGGGAGTTACAGTCACCTCCCGGCAGAAGTCCAACTCTGAGTTATAAACCATCAGCTTCAAGGGCTTCCCCTCATGGGACTCGATGAGCGTGAAGAAATCCTCTGACTATGAGAAACACAGAACCTGAGCCTTGTCTCAGCGCCAGGGCTGGAGGCCTCAACGAAGGAGCTTCTCGTGGACGCCATTCATCCCGCCATGCCCCATCCAGGGGGCTGGGGCGGGCACGCCAGGCTCCTCACCTCCTGGAGGATCTGGTCGGATCCCACCACATAGTCCGTGTAGGGGCGCAGACCAGCAAGGGCAGCAGGCGAAGACGGCTCCACGTCCTGGGGAGAATCACAAGCTATTGGCCTGGCTGCTGGGGAGGGGGTGCCTTGTCTTCTGTCCACAGGCCAGGGACTCAGCCACCCTATCCTCAACTCCCCTGCCTCCCCAGGTCCACACCTGCCTGCAGAGGGCAGCACCTGACCTGGTTCAGCCCTGGGTTCCACTCCTGGCTCCACCAATTGCTAGCTGTGTGGCTGTGGGCACATCACTTAACCTCTCTCAGCCTCAGCTTCCCCATAATTAAAAGTGGGCTAGGTAGTACCGACTTGGAGAGCTGCTAACAAGATTAAAGAAATAATACATTTAAAGGATGAAAACCGTGCCGTGGCCCACAGTAAGTGCCTAGGTGCATTGCTGTTACTGCTGCAGACACATGGCTGGAAGACCCCAGGAAGGGGTGGAGGAGAGGGCCGTGTGCAGAACGAGGCACATGCACCTCCTTTTCCCTGAGAAGGAGCCCGTGGAAAGCCCTAGCTCTCCTAATCTCCAGTCTACCTGGGAATTCGTGCCATCACCCCATCTCACTCGTGGGCACACTGAGGCAGGTCGAAAAGGAGACACTTGGCCAGGCTCCCCCAGAAGTCAGTGAACAACAGAGGAGGCTAGAAAGCAGGTCGGCCTATTCCCAGCTCAGAGCACCCTCCCCCCCGCCAAGTACAGGACTGAGCACTTGAGCCCTCGGCGCCATCTACAAATGTCCATGTCCTGAGTGCACGAGTGTCTGTGAACACACACTAAGCAACATCCGGCAACACAGGCGCGTAAGGCTCACTGAGGTATCCACCATCTAACAGACAGGCACCAAGGCTCACTGAGGTATCCACCATCTAACAGAC